GCCGTTTGCACTTCGCGAAGATGTGAGCTGCGCCACCTGGCTGCGCGGGCGGAACACGTGATTAAACGCAGTCAAATCGATGTGTCTGTTGATAGAGTTAGTGTCCGACACCCACGCCTACAACAGTTCTCGCCCCGTCTTGTTGCCGGCTCGCGCCAATACCCGTGTGTTGGCGAAGCCGAACTCATGACCTTCCTCCAGCGTGTGAGTGGCGACTTGAGATAGTGGGTCGTCTCTTCGAACGGCCCGTTTGTGCTCAAGTATTCGTGAGCTGAGACGTCGCCCTGTCTGGCCTGTGAAGTGGCAAGGACAGTTTTGGCACGGGATTTGATAGACTACGCCCGACTGTTCACCTGCGTCTAGCCGATCCTCCATTTTCATGATCCTGCTACGCATGGTGGCCGCCGGATGATGAGCGATGCCCACGCCTAGCTCTGACACAATGCGTTCTACAGCCTCGGACACATCCTTTATGTACGGTAGGGAGTGCCAAATTGTTAATATCTCTCTTTTATTTGTCCGTCATGGGTGCATGCGTATGCAGCGACTGATAAAACTATTTGGGTAGCCGTTCTTTGTTAATTGGTCCCGGAGATGCGTAGTTCTTGTATCCTTACTTCGGGCTCGTTACAGTGCGTTTTCACCCAGTCGAAAAGCGCCCTCACACAGCTCCGTTTGTGCACCAATGGGTGGTTGCTATGATAGTTGAGGACCTGGGTTGTATTGGTCGCCTTTCTGCACACTGTAGTGCTGAGTTCACCGTCAGGTGTGCGCGTGACGAGCACGTCCAGGAAGGGTAGTTTGTCGTCCTCCTCGTTTTCGCTTGTAAACTGAATGTCGGGGAATATGCTGTTAAGTAAGCCTTGAAAACCTGATGGCATGTCCTTTTCAATAATGACGAATGTATCGTCCACGTGTCGGCGCCAAAACGCAGGTTTGTAGTGGCTGAAAGCAATCTTTTCCAGCTCTTGTACGACCAATTCCGCAACTAGGCTGGATATTGCGGAACCCATGGGTGTTCCTTTGATTTGTTCGTATGTTCTGCCATCGAAGGTGAAAAAGGTTAGTTGGCAGAATGCAAAGAGCTGCATTAGGTGCTGGATCTTTAGCGACCCTGTCGTTTCGTCGTACTTTTCTTCGAGGCGTTTGCGTAGCACGTCGCGCGTCAAGTCTGCTGGGATGGACGTGAAAAGTAAGACAGCGTCGAAGGATACCATGATTTGGTCGTGTCGAATAGTTTTTCCCCGAATGTCGGCAAGGAATTGGGAGGCCGAATTTACGGACGTCACAGAGCCCTCTTGGGGAAAATTAAGCTTTCGGGACATCCATTTGGTTAAATTGTATGTGGGGCTGCCTTTAAGGGCAACGATTGGCCGCAGGGGGATGTTGGGTTTGTGGATTTTTGGTAGTCCATAAAACCTGGCCAACGCCGTGTCAGTTGGTTTTGTCTGGCCCCATTCGTCAAGCGAGATTACATTGTTGCGCCGGAGTCCGCCTAAGAGTCCAGTCAGCTGGCTAATCATCGATTTGGCCTGTGAGGCGGGTGCGGACCTGTAGGACTGTTGGTCGTCCAGGAGAACTTGTGCCTTCTCGTTGTAATCAACGCGGTTCATCACAACTGTTGCTCTTCCTTTGCCGGCCGGTAGCACTATAATATTTTTGTCCATTTTTAATCTCTTAGTTGCTTCTATTTCTGCGGGTGACATATTACAGTACCTGTGCTAACTCATGAAATGTCATGAATTAACACAGGTTAACGCCTTTAACGCAAAATCGGTAAACACCACGGCTCCCAAAGTCTGATAGCGGAAAATAAACGATGTGCCAAAGAAGTAAAGCAAAGTTTGGTTAAGAAAATATTATTTACTGAGATAAAAATAAATAATTTTCGACAAAAGTCACATTTTCGAGAAACGCCTATATTACAACCAAGTTAATAAAGGCTACGTATGAGGACGTATAAAGGAGGAGGGCGCATAAAAGGTCAAAAACAATTAAGGACAGAAACAGTTACAAAAAATTAGTACTTTGTAGATTGTCCATTCGAATTAATAACAGCAGAAAGTCTGTCCGGCATAGACATGACAAGGTGATCTATGGTGGATTGTAAAATGTAATTATTAAGTATGAAATCCAATTTTTCCTGCATTGAAAGAGTCTTCTTAGCTTTGTGCCAATTTATTTTGACAATTCCAAAAAGATTTGCGATTGGATTCAGATCGGGGCTGTTGGCTGGGATGAAAATGGATTGGAGGCCAATTGCGGAGAGCGTGGTTGCTGTCTAAAATGTTAGATTATGTTTGCAAGCGGCATCAAATTCGTACCTCTTTAGAGCGGTGGACAGGTGCATTGTCCTGCAAAATTACAGTATCCATTCGGCGCCGACTTACGCCGTTGTAGCCGAAAGCATCCTTGACAATTGCAATAAACACCTTGCTGTTGATGGTGTCGAATGTTGACCGCCAGACAGGCCGCTCACCGAATTTAATCGCCATCCAAACCATCATCCGCCGACAGTTCTTGAATGTTGCCGTCAGTGTAGTGTGTTCTCTTGGGAAGTTCTTTCCACATATGACGGTTTGGAGCGACTTCGTAGGCTTGTCTAAAAATAGAACCTCATCGCAGAAGAAAATGCTCTTCCAAAATGAAGATCTGTATTCAATATAATTCTTAGCAAATAAAAGCCGTTCTCTAATTAGTTTTCTACTTAAATATGGCTTAATCATGGCCTTCCGCCGCTGCAGTTAAAATTCCTTCATCCTTTTTCTAATGATGTTCATAGAAAACATCGGCAGATGTTCCCGCTGAATGGTCTCAATGGGCATGTAATGAAACTTTTTTAATGTACGACGAATAAAATCGTCGTCTTGCTTACTTGTGGACCGTTTTGGTCCCCCTATCTTATTTCTAGGAACAGTTTTATCATTAATAATGCGCCACAGAGTGACCTTGCTAATATTTAAAATACTAGCTAACGACTCACGCGGGATTCCCTCCGCCGCTAATTTTCGAATGCGCTGGAAGTCAACTTCGGATAAGTATTGTTTAGACATAGTTATCGTTTGGCGTGGCAGAGCAAAGTGACGGCATGTCGCGCGAACTCAATATATATTCGTTTACGACACGCATTTTCAATCTGGTAAAACAATCACACTGATAAACTTTTTTATTTCGGTATTTTGAAACATAAAACTTTACGAATTTGTAAAGTAGAATTTTAAGATAAAGAATTGCACGTTATTTCCTGAACACAATAAGAAATAATTTATCTGCATTTCCCTGATTTTGTTGATATTGAAATTTAATTTTTTGTTTTTGTTCGAAAGTTTATTAAAAAATTTTGTCCTTTTATTAATCTTCTTAAAAAGATTAATAAGGTTACACAAAGAATTTCCATCCGAAAGCTTTAATAGCGTAGGAAACTGCTTGAATATCAGGAATCCTCCGATTTCGCCTTAATCCGGCCCGTTTTCTATTTAATATACAGATCCGTATCAAACTTTCCTTCAGAAAACGGTCTTTTCGTCCTTATTTCAACTAAATAAACACAAATAACGACACCAAAAATACGCTACATTGTCCACTATAATTTTGACCTCGGCATTTCATGAGTTAGCACAGGTACTGTACTAGAGGTAACCTTTTGGCGCACCGTGTGTTTAGCCTCTTCGCTTGCGTTGTTTCGTACCAACATGGCCTCAAGTGAGACAATGAAGTCGGCTGGGGTGGCATCAGCAGTGTTAAAATTGGCTTCGTGGCTCAACACTCTGAGTTCCGTTTCGTTTAACTGCTTCGACGATAAGTTGTATGCCACATTAACGTAGCTACACTCAAGCAGTCTCTGATGAAGAACTCCAGTTCGAGTTCGAAAGCTCAGGCAAATAAATTTACTGTCCCAGTGCTCGTGCTTTCGTCTTCTTTTAAACCTCCAACCACTATTCATGTCTGGCGAATATCTCCATGGCTTTGACTAGTGCAGTAGACAGTTCAGACTTAATCAAAGTCTGCTAACTGAACAGTCAGTGGCATGGCGGACTCTTCCATAGAGCGAAGCGTCTCCATGGGGGTACCTCGTCTCTGGGATCGATGGGGGACGACACTAGTCACAGACCAGATTTGGCAGCCTAACATCCGATCAGGAAACAAAAGGGTAGAATGGCATTACTAGCAAAGACAAGGGAGACTGGAATGGTCACTTCGGGCTTGTTAGCTGTCGCCAGCCAGCCACACCCAATCCCGAAGTGTGGAACACCCGAGGCTCGAACTCGCGACCTGCTAGAAGTCCACGCCTCTACCCACCGGGCCACGGGCTCGTTATCCTGTCGACTGCGATCGGGAATAGACAGTGGTGGAGGGTCGCTCACCGAGCTTTTTTACGCAGCCTACTCGTCCTATATCATGTCTATGTCATGTGCTGCTGTGCGGCTGCTTTTTGGGCTCGAGAGAGAACCCTAAGGTACAGCGGAAAGAGTGAGTTCCGTAAAAACGATCGATGAGCGTCCCTTTACCAAACAAAATGGTCCCTACATTGTGAGGCCTGCAGTAAATTTCACCTATCGGTTCCGGCCTGAGTTCTAAGGGGGTAACTGCAGTGAAGCGAGGCGTTTCCACGAGATTACCTCGTCTCTGAAAATCGATGGGGAGCGACACCAGACACAGACCGGATCTGGCAATTGGACATTCGATCAGGAAACAAAAGGGCTCCTGCATTCTGAGGCGTAGTAGTGGATGCCATCCATCGGTTCCAGCTTGAGTCCTGAGAGGTTGGCCGTAATGGAGAGATCGGCAAACGAAGAGGGATCTGGTTAAAAAAGATGCAAGGGCTCAACTTCTACGGACCCGTCGTCCTAATTGGCGAAACCCAGCAATCTTACACTAAGGGATTAACAGTATGGTCGGCGAAGCACACAATGTGAACTGCCATGAATCCTTTTGTGGATGCCTGCCACTTCTCCTATTTGAAGTTCAGGCAGCCGATGCTTATATACCTACTGACGCGACATATGTAGGATCGCCCACTCAATAATTTATTGAACTTTTCCACTATTTATTTGTGTCAGATTTTGCTTTGAATTTTAAAAAGGTGCTCATTAAAAATGTAGTATCGAATTTTCCTACAAATATCATCCCTATGTTGCTCTTTTGCATATTGTTTAAGCTTGTTTCACTTGGCATATGCAGGGCCACCCATTATTATAATTTACTAAAATTTCCGTCTATTTATTTGCTTCACATTTTGCTTCGAATTTTAAAAGAGTGCTCATTGAAAAGTTACCATGAAATAGCTCACGACAGACCAAGGGGTAACTATTATTGAATTTTCTTATAATTGCATATTATGCATAAAATTTTCTCTGTTATGGGAGAAGTGGCCTATTTTCTTTTGAATGACCCTGTGGACAAGCACAACATGACTACTCACAGCTAGCTTTGTGAAACGACTTGCGTTCCACAGTCTTCCTGTACGGAGTCACGGCGAGCAGCAACATTTATTATTTGGCTATTTTTCTATTGGTAGACGACTAGATACTAACTTATTGAAAGTTTATTCAAAGTGCTGATATGCCAAATTATTAGAAATAAATAAAGTCACCAAGGGTTCCGTCTGTAACCTTTTAAAATACACGCATAGCACAAAGGGCAGTAGATGTACTAACTTATGAAACGCTTACCGAATTTCAGAAATACGTTTTCGACTCAAAAAAAGATTACCTAAGTAGGGTCATAATATTAATCACTTTGCATTGTAATCACATAATAATTCATTTACTTCTTGAAGTCGGCGTTTGAGTGAATTTCTTTCCGATTGCCTGAAAACGTGCATTCTGCAAAAAATGGCTACTTAAGTAACACGAATTTTTTTCACTGATTTTCGATGTCTGTATAAATTCAAATATGTTTCATAGAAACATAAATAAGAGTATTCATTTCTGTACTCATTTGGTAGAAAATTAGGTCTTCTTCCAATTTTATGCTCGAAGAAATGGTAAAATTCGGTTTTCAGAGACTATTCCAATTCCCGAATGACTTTGCACTCGACCAGCCGTTACGTTAACATTCCGGATGTGGAAACTACAAGCTGTATATTCTCCGTGTACGGAAAACCATACAATCTATTGAGAGGAGATAGTGCGCGGTTCGTAAAATTTGGCAGTGGACTTGAGCCATATTGTAAACTTTACAAGCACCATTAGTAAATGCAGAGACACGATGTCTTATGAACGGGAATTTCACCATCTTGAAAAATCCCATAATTAGAGACTTTTTAAAACTTTTTTTTAAAATTGTGAAATTTAGAAAATACCTAATTTCTAGCAAACGAGTAAAAGGATGGAGGTTTTCATGCATGTTTTTATGAAATATATTTGAATTTGTAAGGACATCGAACATCAATGAGGAAAAAATTTGTAATGCTTAAGTACTCATTTTTTGCAGAGTGGTCTTCCCAGGCGTTCGAAAAGAAGTCTATTTAAAAGCCGGTATCCTGGAGTAAATGAATTATTATGGAATTATGTTGTACCATGGTTGTTATTTAATTCTTCTTAAATAAATTTTTTCGAGTCGAAAACGTATTTTAGAATTTCGGTTAACAATTCATGGGTTAGCACATCCA